ATGTCTGAGCCAGCACACCGGGTTTGAGTCCCTGCTCTGCCATTGACGAGCAGGGCACAGCAGACAAATGATCTCTGTGTCTGTTGCTTGTCTGTAAAGTGAGATGCCAGCTGTGCTGCCCTGCTGGGCTGCTGTGAGGGTGGAGCGAGTTAACACATGCACAGCCTGTAGAAGGGTGGCCGTTTGCAGTTGTCTCTGGTGGCTGTGTGACGTTCAGGAGGGATTGTCATTCTAAGCAACGCCTTGCCGAACACCCCATACCCTCTTCTTGGAGGTGTCGAGTGCTCCTTGCTCGATACCCTGAGTGTGGCCAACATCCGGGGGCTCAGGTGGCTGTTTTTCCTTCTAAAGGCTGACCATGGTGACCTTGCTGAAGACGGATCATCCGCTTCAGGGTCTGGTGTCAGGGTCCCACACTGCTTGCCTTGAGAAGTCAGGGGTGATGCCAGCCTCTGAGCAGCCCCGTGGGGCTGAGAGCTGGCCTAGGAGCTCTCACAGGGAGACCTCCTGACACCCCTGCTCACTGTGGTCCATGCTCCTAATCCCACCCTTGGGTTCTGAGGCAGGAAGCGGTTTCTGCACGTGGCTAGGAAGGAAGGTTGCGTTGAGGGCAGAGGCTTCCTGTGAGACCTGGAACTGATCTCTCCCTCCCCTGCAGGTGCAGCAGTACCGCGTTGCCATGACTGCCAAGGACTGCTCCATCATGATCGCGCTGTCCCCCTGTCTGCAGGATGCCAGGTGAGGCGCCCACTGCATGGCCCATGGCCTGGGTCTAACGGGGGCTTATGGACAGTTGGTTTTCCCATATTTAGAGACTCCTTAATGGGATTTTGACCTCCTTGGCCTACATGACATCATGGGGCTATTAACTCTTGCCCTCTAGAAGCTTGTAATTCAGTCAAAAGATTTATGGAGCATAACTCAAAAGGATTGTTATTACATTGAAAGTTACTGTTTTCTAAGAAAATGCTTAAAGAGCTCAGAGACAACATGTAGAGTGAGCTGCCCATTCCATTCCCTCAAAGCCAGCCCCGCCACTGCTGCCAAGGCCTGAGCTGTGTGGGTGCCTGCGGGCTTGTTCCTGGGTCTCCTGCCGGGCAGCGTGGCATGCCTGCTTTTCACCACCACAGTCATTTGAACACCTGTGAGGCGCACATTCATTCTTCTGCTTCCTCCTCTGAATAACCAGCCTGTGTGCAGCCCCTCTCCCTAATGTCACTATTTTTGTCCAGTCCCCTCTCACTGTTTCTGGGAATTTGGGATGAAACTGATAATCTCATAGTAATCAGACAGCATCTTCAGCACTGATCTTCAGGGGTGCCAAACCCTGCACCCGGTATCTGTGGAATGTTCCACATTCTTCTAACATGTGTTCCTGGGTCAAGATGACCTTGGTTGCTGGCTGCCAGCCACACATTTTCCTGGTGCTTTTGAACTAACAGTTCCCAGGATTCCTGTTCCCTGGCAGGCACAGAATTGTCTACTTTCCGGTGTGAAAATTGAGGAACATTATAAGACATAACTGAAGTAGAAAAAAGGTGGTTCTATTTTGTTGAAAACTCCTGTTATCCCCTAAGAAAACACGTACAGGACTAAGTTATGAGGAATTCCTCAGCTGGATTAAGCTGGTGTTGTTTGATGAGAAAAAACCCGCAAAGACACCACTGTTCAGCAGCCCTCCTGACCAAGGATGCAGCTGGGAGGTGGAAACGTGCTTGGATGCAGGCGCTCCGGTGGGCTGTGAAAGGCCGCTGAAGGCCGGTGTGCTGCTCACCTCGTCCAGCACTGGGAGTCTCTCAGTGCCCAGTCAGTGATGTCAAAATGGAAACGCAGCATGTGGGGAGAGCTGAGGGCCCGGGTCCTTACTGTAGCCTGCCCAACTGCTCAACAGAAACCGACACTGGGAGGGGAGGGGAGGGCGTGTCCCGAAGGCACTGAGCCACAATGGCTTCTCCAGGAATCATCATGCACAAAGCACTGTAGCCAGGCCCTTCTCAACAAAGGGAGAAGATCTCAGAAGGCTTCTCCGAGAACATGAGAACATGACGTGGTGGGGCTGGGCCTGCTTCAAGGAAGGTGCACTCAGTGGCTGCACCCGTAAGTTCCAGAGACTGTGGCGCTCTAGAGGCCTAGGGACAAGCTAAGGCTGGGACTTATCATGAGTCATCCTGGCATCTTGAGATGCCTGCTAGACGTGAGACTAAATTTAGATCCCTAGACTTTAATTTACAGCTCACAGACAGATTGACCACATTGAAACTTCTTATACTCCTTAACGTAAAGGCTTCTTCAGCTCTGCGCTACTGTTTCTGCCCTGGCATAAAGCAAAATGTCTAAAGTCGGATCTGCCTGCCTGTCACTGCAGAGGTTTGTCCCTTTGGGAATTTGGAACTGTGGAGAGAGTTGCCACAGCCTCCCGCGCCTAAACCCTGCTGTTCCCCTCGACCTCCCGTCTGAAACAGAGCACGGGCAGCCTTGGCTTCTCCACCCCAGTCCCTAGCACCCTTGGAGGCAGCTTGTCCCCTGGTGACCCCCAGTGGGTCAGTGTCCTGGAGAGCAGCCTTCCAGGCAAGGGCAGCCCCCGTCCCCCGCAGCCATAAGGCCACCTAAGACTTGTTCTCCAAGGCTGCCAGAGGGCACACTTGTGGCACAAGGGACATGTGTGTCCCTGAGAGCCTCTTGCCCAGTCTCGGCCTCAGGACTGCTGAGGGGAAGAGCATTTCTGTGTCAGGAGCTGGTGCCCACTGGTCACTGCCATTGGCTCCCATGGAGCTTGTGGTGGGCCCAGGTAGTCAGACCCACCCCCCAACCCCCCCGCCCCAAGGAGCTGCCTGCCTTTACACCCATGGTCTTGTCAGGTGCTACTTCTGAGAAATTGAGGTGTCCTTTAAAATATGTAGCCCTAGTCACGGGCCGGGGATGTGACTCTTCCAGCCCAGCTGCACCAAGCTTGGGTCTCAGGCCTCAGAACTTAGTGCTCCCCTGGGCTTCAGTGGTTCTCGCAGTAAAATGTAGCCCCTTTGGACAACCTGCAGGCGCCTTCCAGCTTCTGGAGTGAGGCTCAAGACTTTAATTTGTAAATGAGTTATTTGCTGTTTACTATTCAGGCAAGAATAGCTACTGACCCCAGCAACTGAGTCAGGGATTCATTTTTCCTACACAGGGTGGGACAGGGCGCCAAGGCCGTGGTGAGCAGGGTCAGAGCAGGGACATGCTCAGCAGTGTTTCCTCTCCTCGGCGGGAGCTTTTGAAGTTGGGCTTGGGTTTGTTTCTGAATCTCGAAGAGTAGTAAACGGGGGGACACCGGAACCCAGAATACTTCTCCTGGACTGAACTGAGCTTAGGCCACTTATTGAGCCAGTGACATGAGTGCTGTGTGCTAGTGCCCTGAGACGAAGCGGGACACACAGCAGTCGAAGCTTAGGACTCGGAGATCCTGGATGTGTTTTTCAGGGCAAATAATTATTCACATCTTGTTAGAAGCACACGACTATTCTGATGTTTATTAAAACCAAAAACTAAGCCCTGGGGAGCAAAATACAGAGGACTAAAGATAAAGTTTGAGAATAAAATGAGAAACCAGATCTCTCCAGTGTGAACCACACAAAGGAGTCTGCGTTTCTCAGCAGACAGGAGAGGCACAGAAGGAGAAGTCTTGTCGACATTTCATCCATTTGGCGCTGGAACAGCCAGATCTACTTTTTACTTTTTCTTGGGTTTTGTAATACTTGGCTCATGATAAAGTGACTTTTCAGCGTTCGTTTATACCACTGGGCTGGGGGAACATCACTCACATGTTCCACGTAATCGCTTTTCCATCTTTCAGTCCTTTAACCCTCTCTCGCCTGGTATGATGGGGTGCACTGGCCTGAGGAAGCTTTGTGTGCTGGTACCGGCACAGACAGCTGTCATGCACAGAGGCACCAAACGAGGTGCAAGGACATTCATGTCTCAATTTATCTAACTTTGCAGAAGTCGAAGAAAAAAACATAATAAAAACATATTAGTTGAAAGAAGGAAGGAAAGGAGAGAGAACAGGAGGGAGGGAAGTGAATTGGGAGGCTTGTGTATCCTGAAATGGTATTTTTTTACTTGCAGCTCTGATCAAAGGCCTGTCGTCCCTTCATCGAGGTCCAGGCTTGCCTTCTCCGTGTCTGTGCTGGACCTTGACCTCAAGCCCTACGAGAGCATTCCCCATCAGTATAAACTGGACGGCAAGATCGTCAACTATTATTCAAAGACTGTATGTGCCAAAGACAACGCCGTGATGTCGACTCGGTTCAAGGAAAGTGACGATTGCACATTAGTTCTCCACAAGGTCTAACTCTTTCCCTGCAGTGTCTTTGAAACTTGAACATAGAATGTGAAGGTTGAATGATAGAGCTATTTTCTATTGTGTTGGGTGACCTTTGGTTGTGAATGTTTTTGCTTTTAACCCCTGTTGAGGTGGGATTGCCTCTTGGAGAAATGGAATTGAAGAGCACTAGAAACATCTTCCTGGACAAGGAATGTAGGACGTGAGTGCTGTGTCCCAGGAAGCTGCTCACATTCTTAAAATGGAAGTGTCCGTTAAGCCCTGGGGAGACCCTCTGGGTAGTTCTTCCTTCCCACCCAGGGCTCATGTCTGATTCTCTAATGCAAAAAGCCTTATTCTAAGACCCAAGCTTTGGATCTGCTACCACCAGACTCCTAACATAGAAAACTTGAATTATTACATACATTTTACAGTTTGGACTTTTAAGAAAACATGGATACTACTGGAACTTTCCCCAGCTGAGTTACATGGTCACTTTTTCAGAAAGTGCAAGCCACATATCAACACAGGTTTTTAGGCAGTTCCCTGCTGCAGAGCGTGACCTCGTGTGGACACCAGTTCTGAGCAGTGTAGACTCAGAGTCCCTGTGGAGGTGCTGAAGCCCACGGCTCCACGCGGGGCGGCAGGGAGCGCGAGACTCAGGTCAGGATGGACACCACTCATGCGAGCATTGACTTTTTTTTTTCTTTATTATTTTATTTTTCACATGAGGGGGAGATGTGTTCTTTCCCACTGGAAATTGCTGCTGTAGAAGCTGGAGGTGGAGCTGTGGCTGGCTGAGCTGCTGTGGCCGGGCTGGGCAGTGTGCCCCAACAGCTCAGTGCTTTTCTGACACTCCGGTGTTTGGGGTGATTGAGGAGTGAGTTTTCTCTTCCTCCCGGACTGAGTTCCTCCCTCGGGTTTGCCTTGAGACGTGTTGCGTTGTTGGGCCCCGTGGCCTCTCCCTGTCCGGCTGCCACAGGCCATGCTTCTGGAAGGCGAACAGCTCCTGGCTGCTGCCGAGAGGGTTCTTGTTGGGGTCACCAAAGTGTGCCCAGCTGCTATGAAAAACGTTGGGAATCTTGGTTTCAGTTTTTTATTGTATGCTAGGTTGTACAGACTGATTATTTATATCATCGTTTTGAGGGACTAATGGAGGCTTATTGTAACATATAATATTAGTGAAACCATGGAATTATATGAAAATGATACATGAGAAATAAGGAAACTATTTTGCTGATTGTAAATTTTTGTGGGAAATTTTGTGATAACCTGAGAATTATACTTGTTTGAATCAAGGCAACTCTTCTAGAATTTATTGTTCAATTCTGTCCTAATATTTACTTCTAATTTTATTCTATACTCAGAGGTGCGAAAAGATACTTAGACAACTGGACACCTTTACTGTTTTCTTCTCACTTCGAATGACATTGTCTCATACACAAGTGTCCTGTGTGCTGGCATGGGGGCTTTGGAGACTGCACATAAGCGAAGTGGACAGAGCTCATGGCGACGACCGGCAGGCTCTGGGAAGTATGGAGGGAAGTGGCCGTGAATACTGTCTTGACCCAAGGGAGTTCACTGTTGCTGGGCTGGGGCTGGGGAAGCCTTGTTCGGGATGATTCTGCCCACTGTCACAGTGTGTGAAGGACACTGGGTCTTGGGTTTAAGTGCACATGTGAGGGAACCCTACCCCAATGGGAAGGCAGGCTGGGCTCTCTGCGTCCGTCAGGGCCGCAAAAGTTACTGCCTAGCACAGGGCCCAGACAGGGCTGGACTAGACACGATGAAAATACCCTGTATTGAAGAAGAGAAAACAGATGAAGACCCCCATTCTGTGTTGGCTGCCACGAGCCCGGGCTGTGAGGATCCCCTGAGCTGCAGGCGCCACCGCTGTGGACGTATTATTTCTGGCCCCTCTCAGAAGCCGCTGCTGCTGCTTAGTTTTGGCTCCATGATGGCCTTGATTGGTTTGAGACAACCCTAGTTCACAGATCCTAACGGTGCTAACGGGTGACTGATGAGATCACGGTTCTGACGGCACATCTGGGACTGTCGATGTAGCACTTCGGCTCTGCACAGGTTCTGTCATAAAGGACCTTATTCCTTGCACCCTGGCCCAGGAACAGTGCTGTCTTTGCTGTCTTAGGACATTCTTGTTTTGAAGCTGACAGATCCAGTCATAAAGGACCTTATTCCTTGCACCCTGGCCCAGGAACAGTGCTGTCTTTGCTGTCTTAGGACATTCTTGTTTTGAAGCTGACAGCTCCATTTTCTTGTGGAAGACCAAGAAGAACGTCAGGACTTGCTGGGACTGCTTCACAGTGGAGGTGGCAAGGAGTGTGGGCGTGGCTCCCCTGGGCCACTAACGAAAGTTTAAAAATGAAGTGCCATAGGCATCTGTCTCCAGAGCCCCCAGGACGCAGGAACCAGGATAAGGTTGGCTTCTCCCAGCTGAGCAGTGTGGCTGCCACGTCATGGTAGACTCGGTGTGAGGCTGAGGTGGGTGGGGGACTGGGTCCTCCCCACACGTCTGAGGACACACAACCACTCGGTATGTTTTCTCAGATGTTAAGCTTATTTTTATAAAACACACTGTACATGTCACTTTTATTTGGCATTTTATACTTAAGTAACTATTTATTTTTCATGTCATGAGAATTTCTATAGAATGTGCCTTAACTGCGCAGAAGACAGGTCTTCAGGGTGTGGTTTCCAAGTGGAAAATAGCAAATGTTTATATTGGGTAAAGTCGCACGCACCTCTGCTCAGCATCTTAACCCTCCCCGTTCACTGTTTCGGAACTAGCCGTTCTGCTCTGCACGAAGCGATTTTATCAGGCTTTCCAGAGCAGCTTCGATTCCAAGCACTCCTAGCAGGGTTCGGAAGCTGAGAGGAGCGGTTTCTATGGTTCTGTTCTTGTCCAGCTCCAGGGCTATAAAGAAGACATTAAACTAGGTAAGAAACTTCCAGGTGGCGGCTTTGGTTTTGTGTTTTCTGCTGGTGTGGACCTCACCAAGAACCCACCCCCCTCCCGACTGCCTGCTTGGAATGGGACGTGCTAGGGACAGGCAAGGAGGAGAGACAGAGTGCGAGGCATCCCCTACGGCTTGAGGCATATTCCCTTGTGCATTCGGCCTGCGGGCCTGAGGGGAGCAATCCCTTTTCATGTTCTTTTTCAGTGATTATTGATGGTTAAAATATTTAAAACTTGATAGACAAAGTACATTAATGAGATTTCTAACTTTTGATTCTTGCCCTGTGAAACCCAGAGGAAGTAGGCAGCTTTGCTGGGCACGTTGAGAAGGCACCTAAAGCAGCTACACCCAGGGACCCTACCTCGCTGTGGGACTTTGGTGAGAAGATCCAGCTTTGGAAAAACTTTCCCATCTTCATCTATTTGTATCCTCCAAACAATTACTAATTCAAACCTGAAAAAGTGGTAAAACACATCGTTATGTGCTTTTTGAAATCTGGCTAAAAGATTAGCAGCCATGAGTCACGCCTGGTCTCCATTTCCCCATGCTGGGCTCCCCTGCTCCTAGAAACCCCGACGCACAGCAAAGAAGAGGCATGGTCAGTAGCACAAGCAAATGGAACCAGGACCACAGGAAGGTGCTGCTCTGTACCCACTGCCCTGGCAAACATTAGGCCAATACCAGTGAGGTACAGAACATGGAGCAACAGAAACTTCAGAATTACTGGTGGGAGCAGACATGGACCAGCCACTTTGGAAATAATCTGCATTGACAGAAAGCTGAATGTGCATCCACCTATGACCCAGGAATTTCATTTCTAGGCATTTGAACCCAGGAGAAGCTTGTGTACTGTGTGCCGGGGGTGTGAGCCAGAACGAAGAAGCCACATGCTTTAGAGCTGAAGAGCACAGAAAGACACTGTATGAATCCCTCCCAGAGGATGAGCAGCGAAACTGCGCAGCAACTGCTCATGATCCTAGAGGAAGTGAAGGGTGACAAAGGCAAGTCCCAGAAGCCTGCATAACGACCACATGATTTTAAAGCTTGGAAACCAGTGAGTTGAGGCATTTACACACAGGTCATAAAAGTACACCCAGATGGATACATGTGCACACATGCACGCACCAAGGGAAGAGAATGGAGAACATGGCATGGGCCAGGGCAGTGCCTGGGACTGGTGGAGGGATTGGCTGTGCTGTTGGGGCACTGAGCCTGTCCTCCTGTTTCTTCTCATTGCTTGGCTCCTCAAGGCTTTCCACTCATTCACCCCTATTTCTGAAGTAACAGCAGATTCACAAGCATCTCCACTTTCTCCCAGTCTCCCTTCCATGGTTCTCTAAGGATCCTGTAGGGAAACCATCACTGGCAGGCCCCAGGACTGGCATTTTCCCCCTGCGGCTCAGCACATCCTCCAGAGCTCCAGCTCCCCACACCCCCACGCTGGGGTGTATCTGCTGGAACCACTGATTCCTCCAACCGACGACCTTTGGTTCTCGGTTAGGTGGTTTACTACTTAGAATCTTTGTTTTAACAGCAAATGGGAGGCCCTGTGGCCTGTGCAGACTCACCCTGGCTGGCTGGCACTGCGGATCACTATGGAGGGGGAGGAGGGCCCCTCTGAGAGGTGCACGGCATCTGGGTACTTTTCCTGCATGGGGAGAAGAAATTGTTACAGACAGTTCCATTGGTGAGGGGTGAGGGGCCATGGGAGGGGCATGGGGTGCCGTTCCAGGTATCTGGCGAAAATCAGCATCCCAGTGTGCGCGCAGCATCCACAGGCGCCGACTGCCCCTCCTGCCCTTGCCGTCACACACGTCTGTCCCACTGTAGGTCTCTACACAGCCACACAGCCTCCAAGCTCCTATCATGAACATTGTACATAACCACTCTACAGCTGTATTCTCATCTCACAGGTTTCCCCACACACCTTCCTTCTGAGATGGCTCCCTGGTCTGTCCTTGTCCACGACAACCTGGACAGTCTAGGGAGGACGGGTCAGAGGATGCCCCAAGCAGATGTGCCAGGCTTCTTGCTGGAAAGCAGCTGTTTTAGCATCTGACCTGAAAAGCCCTTTGAACTGAGGCTCCTTGAGGGCTGTGGCTGGGCCTGGACGCTCCTCGCCTGTTGGTTCTCAGGACTCACCCCAGTGGCGCCCAGCCCACACACCGTCCTGGGCATGGACAGGAGCCCACCCTGGTACCCTCACTGTGCCCAGTGGCGGCGCAGCTCCCACTGCATTAAAGGAAAGGTGAAAGCTTCACCAAATCATCTTTGTGATGAGATGGCATTTTAAGGTCAAAAGCCCTGAAAGCAGGGAAATCAAATGGAATCTCACAGATACCTAGGTTTGCAGTTCTGGAAGAGTCTGTTTTACTCCATGGGCTGTGAAAATTCTGGACATGTCTGCTTGTTTCTATTCATAGCAGCACCCAGTAGCCTCTGGCTATACCAGAACTGACCTGCGAATTTAGATCATGAAACCACAACACAGCTTACTTACTGGAACCTGAACAGAGGATACACATTCTTAGCTGATAAGAGTAACAGTGGCCCCGCCCTCTCAGTTCTTAAAAACTTGTCTTTTTGGGCCAGGCGCAGTGGCTCACACCTGTAATCCCAGCACTTTGGGAGGCTGAGGCAGGTGGATCACAAAGTCAAGAGATCAAGACCATCCTGGCCAACATGGTGAAACCCCGTCTCTACTAAAAATACAAAAATTAGCTGGGCATGGTGGCGGCCACCTGTAGTCCCAGCTATGCAGGAGGTTGAGGCAGGAGAGTCGCTTGAACCCAGAAGGTAGAGGTTGCAGTGAGCTGAGATCATGCCACTGCACTCCAGCCTGGGCGACAGAGTGAGACTGTCTCAAAAAACAAAACACACACAAAAGTATCTTTTTGTCTGCTCTTGTGAGAACACACTGCAGGTCAGGGTGACAGGAGACTCACAGTAGGCTCTGCCTGAGACGTCGAGTTCCTAGTGCCACTCTGACAGATGTACTTTCCTTTCTGTCCTCTCACAGCGACTGATGCAGAAAGGGAAACCTGGGGGTGCTGCTTAAGTCGCAAGCGAGCACTGCCGCGATTAAAAGTGCTGTGGCCTCCCCAGGCCTTAGGGAGGTTTCCCCTGAGAAGCATCCAGCCTAACAGAAGACACAAGACAAAGGAGGAGGCTGGAAAGGCAGACAGGGCCTTCCTGCCGCTCAGAGACTTGCCAGATTGAACCAGATCAGCTCTGCTGAATGAGGTTGTGTGGGGACAATGGCATGACAAAGCTTTTAAAGGAAGCAGCCCCTGCATCACTGAGCTCTTGCCAGTGTGGGAGGCCTGCACCCTGTGCATGTGGGCCCAGCGCAGTGAGAATGTATCCCAGCACCAGCTGCACCCGCCAGAGGTTGAGAGGGGCCTGGTGGAAGCTTACAGATAATTACTAACTTCAGCACAACAGTTTCCATAAGAAAATGTATACCTAAGTGATTTAAGTGGAAAGTGTTGGTTGATTTTTAAACCGCAGTCTCTTCCAAATTAATCACAACTACATGAGGACGGTAAGGGAGAGCCTGTGAACGTGGCAGCTCAGCTTCCAGGCTGGCTCAGCGGCAGCACTTGGGACTCATCAGGACGGCTGGGGCCTGGGCCAGCTCCAACGTGGGGCCTGAGGCTCAGCCTCCAAGCACAAGGGAGCAGATGGAGCAGCTCTCTGCCTTCTGGGCCTCTCTTCACCTCCCCTTGTCAGCAAAAAGGGGTTTAAATGGGATGCTTTCACTAAAAAGTTAAAGTGTATTTGACTCCTTTTAGTTTTTAAAATACAGTCAAAGGTAGAAACACGGGCATTAGGAAAAGATCAGGCATTCAGTGTGTGTTTCTGGTAGATTTTCGTGGGATTGTGTGCAAAGGTTCTTTTTGTAGAAGTTAACAATGCTCCATTCATCTAGCCAAGGTAACGGTCTCTGGTAACTTGAAATAGAAAGGATGGGTCTCATTGACAGACATGTACAGGTGGGGAGAGAAGATGGAAAAGCTGTGAATATGGTTACATTAGTTATATACAACTCAATACAGAGTGGGCTTGAGGTCATTAGGCCTAAGGTCAGCACATCTCAACAGCAGTCGATTTTAATAAATGACTGGGCCGGGTGTGGTGGTTCACGCCTGTAATCTAAGCACTTTGGAGGCCAAGGCGGGCGAATCACCTGAGGTCAGGATTTCAAGATCGGCCTGACCAACATGGTGAAACCCCGTCTTAAAAATAAATAAGTAAATAAATGACTGTATTTGACGTGGATAAAAGATGACTAAATCAGCAAGAAAGAGTTAAGACAAACATGCTCTGATAAGGAAGAGATATGTCCCATATGTTTTCTAATGCTTTCCATGACAAATAGTTAACACACAAAAAGTGAATTGGAAAATCGTTAAGCCTTATCTGGAAAGCTCCTTAGATGTGTCACATTTAAAACCAAGGCCCAGCCGGGCGCGGTGGCTCAAGCCTGTAATCCCAGCACTTTGGGAGGCCGAGGCGGGTGGATCACGAGGTCAAGAGATCGAGACCATCCTGGTCAACGTGATGAAACCCCGTCTCTA